ATCACAGGTAAAAAAAAACCTCAGAACTTCTTTGATGTATAGATTAAAGACTTCTCTAAAGTCAAGAAAGATGATCGAAGGTACTGTGTAGGAAAGATCTGAGACATAAAAAGAAGAAAAGAAAAATCCACGACACTTACGTGGAAATATAAAGACAGGATAGACCCGTTGAAAAACACATATTTCCCTGCACCCAACAGCTAAAATTCCTGAATTCTCAAACCTTATTTTAAATACTGTTTTTGGATTATTTTTAGCAAACGTCTTTGATTAAGGAAATCCAGCTCGGTTTGGTCTGTCAGACTTATGTTTTGTTTTTTGTATGCTTTAGTTTCAGCTAATTGGAATAATGAAGAAGGACGCACCTTTTCCTTCCTGGACTATCTAATACTGTAAGTGTCGCACTTCTTTTTTAAGGGCTCAGAAGCTCATATATAATGCGAACACAACTATTTTAGACACCCTGATTTTTAATTGGTTGACAGTTTTCCTCTTTTGATGAGTTTCAAGAGAGCAATTGAACATGGATTAGTGTCGTCACGGAAATAAATACTTGGCAAAAAAATTAGGAAATAATACAGGAATGATTAAAAGTGTGCCAAATTTCACTGGGTGTTAAAACAACTCCAATCTTCACTGCTCCCCACCAGTCTTCCTTAAAAAATCAATGAATGACTATTTGATATTAATGATGAAATTATTTGCTTAGTATCTGTCTTAACAGGGTGTATTTTCAGCGCAAGACAGTTTTCCAGAGGTCACCGACTGATTCTTCTCAAGTGACGCCTTAAACAAGAAAGACGATCACAGGTAAAAAAACACCTAAGAACTTCTTTGATGTATAGATTAAAGACTTCTCTAAAGTCAAAAAAGACGATCGAAGGTACTGTGTAAGAAAGATCTGAGACATAAAAAGAAGAAAAGAAAAATCGACTAGACTTACATGGAAATATAAAGACAGGATAGACCCGTTGAAAAACACATATTTACCTGCACCCAACAGCTAAATTCCTGAATTCTCCAATCTTATTTTAAGTGCTTTTTTTGGATTATTTTTAACAAACGTTTTTGATTAAGGAAATCCAGCTTTTTATAGTCTGTCAGCCTTATGCTTTGTTTTTTGTATGCTTTAGTTTCAGCTAATTGGAATAATGAAGAAGGCCGCACCTTTTCCTTCCTGGACTATCTAATACTGTAAGTGTGGCAATTCTTTTTTTAGGGGCTCTGAAGCCTACGTATAATTCTAACAAAACTATTTTAGTGAACCTGATTTTTAATTGGTTGACAGTTTTCCTCTTTTGATGAGTTTAAAGAGAGCAATTGAACATGGATTAGTGTCGTCAGGGAAATAAATACTTGGCAAAAAAATTAGCAAATAATACAGCAATGATTGAAAGTGTGCCAAATTTCACTGGGTGTTGAAAGAACTCAGATCTTCACTGCTCCCCACCAGTCTTTCTTAAGAAATCAATGAATGACTATTTGATATTAATGATGAAATTATTTGCTTAGTATCTGTCTTAGCAGGGTGTATTTTCAGCGGAAGACAGTTTTCCAGAGGTCACCGACTGATTCTTTTCAAGTGATGTCTTAAACAAGAAAGACGATCACAGGTAAAAAAACACCTCAGAACTTCTTTGATGTATAGATTAAAGACTGCTCTAAAGTCAAAAAAGACGATCGAAGGTACTGTGTAAGAAAGATCTGAGACATAAAAAGAAGAAAAGAAAAATCCACCAGACTTACATGGAAATATAAAGAATGGATAGACCCATTGAAAAACACATATTTCCCTGCACCCAACAGCTAAAATTCCTGAATTCTCAAACCGTATTTTAAATGCTTTTTTTGGATTATTTTAAGCAAACCTCTTTGATTAAGGAAATCCAGCTTCTTTTGGTCTGTCAGACTTATGTTTTGTTTTTTGTATGCTTAAGTTTCAGCTAATTGGAATAATGAAGAAGGGCGCACCTTTTCCTTTCGGGACTATGTAATACTGTAAGTGTGGCACTTCTTTTTTAAGGGCTCAGAAGCTCATGTATAATTCGAACACAACTATTTTAGACACCCTGATTTTTAATTGGATGACAGTTTTCCTCTTTTGATGAGTTTAAAGAGAGCAATTGAAAATTGATTAGTGTCGTCAGGTAAATAAATACTGGGCAAAAAAATTAGGAAATAATACAGGAATGATTAAAAGTGTGCCAAATTTCACTGGGTGTTAAAACAACTCAGATCTTCACCGCTCCCCACCAGTCTTCCTTAAAAAATCAATGAATGACTATTTGATATTAATGATGAAATTATTTGCTTAGTATCTGTCTTAACAGGGTGTATTTTCAGCGGAAGACAGTTTTCCAGAGGTCACCGACTGATTCTTCTCAAGTGACGCCTTAAACAAGAAAGACGATGACAGGTAAAAAAAACAACTCAGATCTACTTGATGTATAGATTAAAGACTGCTCTAAAATCAAGAAAGACGATGGAAAGTACTGTGTAAGAAAGATCTGAGACATAAAAAGAAGAAAAGAAAAATCCACTAGACTTACATGGAAATATAAAGACAGGATAGACCCGTTGAAAAACACATATTTCCCTGCACCCAACAGCTAAATTCCTGAATTCTCAAACCTTATTTTAAATGCTTTTTTTGGATTATTTTTAACAAACGTTTTTGATTAAGGAAATCCAGCTTGTTATGGTCTGTCAGCCTGACGCTTTGTTTTTTCTATGCTTTAGTTTCAACTAATTGGAATAATGAAGAAGGCCGCACCTTTTCCTTCCTGGACCATCTAATACGGTAAGTGTGGCACTCTTTTTTTTAGGGGCTCAAAAGCCTACGTTTAATTCTAACACAACTATTTTAGAGACCCTGATTTTTAATTGGTTGACAGTTTTCCTTTTTTGATGAGTTTAAAGAGAGCAATTAAAGATTGATTAGTGTCGTCAGGTAAATAAATACTTGGCAAAAAAATTAGTAAATAATACAGCAATAATTGAAAGTGTTCCAAATTTCACTGGGTGTTGAAAGAACTCAGATCTTTGCCATTCCCCAGAAGTCTTCCTTAGGAAATCAATGAATGACTATTTCATATTAATGATGAAATGATTTGCTTAGTATCTGTCTTAACAGGGTGTATTTTCAGCGGAAGACAGTTTTCCAGAGGTCATCGACTAATTCTTTTAAAGCGACGCCATAAACAGGAAAGAGGATCCCAGGTAAAAAAACACCTCAGAACGACTTTGATGTATAGATTAAAGACTGCTCTAAAGTGAAGAAAGACGATCGTAGGTACTGTGTAAGAAAGATCTGTGACATAAAAACAAGAAAAGAAAAATACACCAGACTTACATGGAAATATAAAGACAGGATAGACCCGTTGAAAAACACATATTTCCCTGCACCCAACACCTAAAATTCCTGAATTCTCAAACCTTATTTTAAATGCTTTTTTTTGGATTATTTCTAACAAACGTTTTTGATTAAGGAAATCCAGCTTGTTTTGGTCTGTCAGCCTTATGTTTTGTGTTTTGTATGCTTTAGTTTCAGCTAATTGGAATAATGAAGAAGGGCGCACCTTTTCCTTCCTGCACTATCTAATACTGTAAGTGTGGCCCTTTTTTTTTTAGAGGCTCTAAAGCCTACGTATAATTATTCTAACACAACTATTTTAGAGAACCTGATTTTTAATTGGTTGACAGTTTTCCTCTTTTGATGAGTTTAAAGAGAGCAATTGAACATGGATTAGTGTCGTCACGGAAATAAATACTTGGGGAAAAAATTAGCAAATAATACAGCAATGATTGAAAGTGTGCCAAATTTCACTGGGTGTTGAAAGAACTCAGATCCTCACCGCTCCCCACCAGTCTTCTTTAAGAAATCAATGAATGACTATTTGATATTAATGATGAAATTATTTGCTTAGTATCTGTCTTAACAGGGTGTATTTTCAGCGGAAGACAGTTTTCCAGAGGTCACCGACTGATTCTTCTCAAGTGACGCCTTAAACAAGAAAGACAATGACAGGTAAAAAAAACACCTCAGATCTACTTGATGTATAGATTAAAGACTGCTCTAAAGTCAAGAAAGACGATGGAAGGTACTGTGTAAGAAAGATCTGAGACATAAAAAGAAGAAAAGAAAAATCCACTAGACTTACATGGAAATATAAAGACAGGATAGACCCGTTGAAAAACACATATTTCCCTGCACCCAACAGCTAAATTCCTGAATTCTCAAACCTTATTTTAAATGCTTTTTTTGGATTATTTTTAACAAACGTTTTTGATTAAGGAAATCCAGCTTTTTATAGTCTGTCAGCCTGATGCTTTGTTTTTTCTATGCTTTAGTTTCAGCTAATTGGAATAATGAAGAAGGCCGCACCTTTTCCTTCCTGGACTATCTAATACTGTAAGTGTGGCACTTTTTTTTTAGGGGCTCTAAAGCCTACGTATAATTCTAACACAACTATTTTAGAGAACCTGATTTTTAATTGGTTGACAGTTTTCCTCTTTTGATGAGTTTAAAGAGAGCAATTGAACATGGATTAGTGTCGTCAGGGAAATAAATACTTGGCAAAAAAATTAGCAAATAATACAGCAATGATTGAAAGTGTGCCAAATTTCACTGGGTGTTTAAAGAACTCAGATCTTCACTGCTCCCCACCAGTCTTCCTTAAGAAATCAATGAATGACTATTTGATATTAATGATGAAATTATTTGCTTAGTATCTGTCTTAACAGGGTGTATTTTCAGCGGAAGACAGTTTTCCAGAGGTCACCGACTGATTCTTCTCAAGTGACGCCTTAAACAAGAAAGACGATCACAGGTAAAAAAACACCTCAGAACTTCTTTGATGTATAGATTAAAGACTGCTCTAAAGTCAAAAAAGACGATCGAAGGTACTGTGTAAGAAAGATCTGAGACATAAAAAGAAGAAAAGAAAAATCCACCAGACTTACATGGAAATATAAAGAATGGATAGACCCGTTGAAAAACACATATTTCCCTGCACCCAACAGCTAAAATTCCTGAATTCTCAAACCGTATTTTAAATGCTTTTTTTGGATTATTTTTAGCAAACGTCTTTGATTAAGGAAATCCAGCTTCTTTTTGGTCTGTCAGACTTATGTTTTGTTTTTTGTATGCTTAAGTTTCAGCTAATTGGAATAATGAAGAAGGGCGCACCTTTTCCTTTCTGGACTATGTAATACTGTAAGTGTGGCACTTCTTTTTTAAGGGCTCAGAAGCTCATGTATAATTCGAACACAACTATTTTAGACACCCTGATTTTTAATTGGATGACAGTTTTCCTCTTTTGATGAGTTTAAAGAGGGCAATTGAAGATTGATTAGTGTCGTCAGGTAAATAAATACTTGGCAAAAAAATTAGCAAATAATACAGCAATGATTAAAAGTGTGCCAAATTTCACTGGATGTTAAAACAACTCAGATCTTCACCGCTCCCCACCAGTCTTCCTTAAGAAATCAACGAATGATTGACTATTTGATATTAATGATGAAATTGTTTGCTTAGTATCTGTCTTGACAGGCTGTAGTTTCAGTGGAACACAGTTTTCCAGGGGTCACCGACTGATTCTTTTCAAGCGATGCCTTAAAAAAGAAATAGGATCACAGGTATGCAAAAAAGACCTAGGAACAAGTTTTTTGTGTAGATTAAAGACTGCTCTAAAGTCAAGAAAGACGATCAAAGGTACTGTGTAAGAAAGATCTGAAACATAAAAAGAAGAAAAGAAAAATCCACCAGACTTACATGGAAACATAAAAACAGGATAGACCCGTTGAAAAGCACATATTTCCCTGCACCCAACAGCTAAATTCCCGAATTCTCAAACCTTATTTTAAATCCTTTTTTGGGATTATTTTTAACAAACGGCTTTGATTAAGGAAATGCAGCTTGTTATGGTCTGTGAGCCTTACGCTTTTTTTTTCTATCCTTTAGTTTCAGCTAATTGGAATATTGAAGAAGGCCACACCTTTTGCTTCCTGGACTATCTAATACTGTAAGTGTGGCACTTTTTTTTGTAGGGGCTGAGAAGCCTACGTATAATTCTAACACAACTATTTTAAAGACCCTGATTTTTAGTTAGATGACAGTTTTCCTTTTTTGATGAGTTTAAAGAGAGGAATTAAAGATTGATTAGTGTCCTCACGTAAATAAATACTTGGCAAAAAAATTAGTAAATAATACAGCAATCATTGAAAGTGTTCCAAATTTCACTGGGTGGTGAAACAACTCAGATCTTTGCCATTCCCCACAAGTCTTCCTTAGGAAATCAATGAATGACTATTTGATATTAATGATGAAATGATTTGCTTAGTATCTGTCTTAACAGGGTGTATTTTCAGCGCAAGACAGTTTTGCAGAGGCCTCCGACTGATTCTTTTCAAGCGACGCCGTAAACAGGAAAGAGGATCACAGGAAAAAAACACCTCAATACGACTTTGATGTATAGATTAAAGACTGCTCTAAAGTGAAGAGAGACGATCGTAGGTACTGTGTAAGAAAGATCTGAGACATAAAAAGAAGAAAAGAAAAATCCACCAGACTTGCATGGAAATATAAAGACAGGATAGACCCGTTGAAAAATACAGATTTCCCTGCACCCAACAGCTAAAATTCCTGAATTCTCAAACCTTATTTTAAATGCTTTTTTTGGATTACTTTTAACAAACGTTTTTGATTAAGGAAATCCAGCTTGTTTTGGTCTGTCAGTTTTATGTTTTGTGTTTTGTATGCTTTAGTTTCAGCTAATTGGAATAATGAAGAAGGGCGCACTTTTTCCTTCCTGGACTATCTAATACTGTAAGTGTGGCACTTTTTTTTTTAGGGGCTCTAAAGCCTACGTATAATTATTCTAACACAACTATTTTAGAGAACCTGATTTTTAATTGGTTGTTAGTTTTCCTCTTTTGATGAGTTTAAAGAGAGCAATTAAACATGGATTAGTGTCGTCAGGGAAATAAATACTTGGCAAAAAAATTAGCAAATAATACAGCAATGATTGAAAGTGTGCCAAATTTCACTGGGTGTTGAAAGAACTCAGATCTTCACCGCTCCCCATCAGTCTTCCTTAAGAAATCAATGAATGACTATTTGATATTAATGATGAAATTATTTGCTTAGTATCTGTCTTAACAGGGTGTATTTTCAGCAGAAGACAGTTTTCCAGAGGTCACCGACTGATTCTTCTCAAGTGACGCCTTAAACAAGAAAGACGATGACAGGTAAAAAAAACACCTAAGATCTACTTGATGTATAGATTAAAGACTGCTCTAAAGTCAAGAAAGACGATGGAAGGTACTGTGTAAGAAAGATCTGAGACATAAAAAGAAGAAAAGAAAAATCGACTAGACTTACATGGAAATATAAAGACAGGATAGACCCGTTGAAAAACACATATTTACCTGCACCCAACAGCTAAATTCCTGAATTCTCCAATCTTATTTTAAGTGCCTTTTTTGGATTATTTTTAACAAACGTTTTTGATTAAGGAAATCCAGCTTGTTATGGTCTGTCAGCCTTATGCTTTGTTTTTTGTATGCTTTAGTTTCAGCTAATTGGAATAATGCAGAAGGCCGCACCTTTTCCTTCCTGGACTATCTAATACTGTAAGTGTGGCAATTCTTTTTTTAGGGGCTCTGAAGCCTACGTATAATTCTAACAAAACTATTTTAGAGACCCTGATTTTTTATTGGATGAGAGTTTTCCTCTTTTGATGAGTTTAAAGAGAGCAATTGAACATGGATTAGTGTCGTCAGGGAAATAAATACTTGGCAAAAAAATTAGAAAATAATACAGCAATGATTGAAAGTGTGCCAAATTTCACTGGGTGTTGAAAGAACTCAGATCTTCACTGCTCCCCACCAGTCTTTCTTAAGAAATCAATGAATGACTATTTGATATTAATGATGAAATTATTTGCTTAGTATCTCTCTTAACAGGGTGTATTTTCAGCAGAAAACAGTTTTCCAGAGGTCACCGACTGATTCTTCTCAAGTGATGTCTTAAACAAGAAAGACGATCACAGGTAAAAAAACACCTCAGAACTTCTTTGATGTATAGATTAAAGACTGCTCTAAAGTCAAAAAAGACGATCGAAGGTACTGTGTAAGAAAGATCTGAGACATAAAAAGAAGAAAAGAAAAATCCACCAGACTTACATGGAAATATAAAGACAGGATAGACCCGTTGAAAAACACATATTTCCCTGCACCCAACATCTAAAATTCCTGAATTCTCAAACCGTATTTTAAATGCTTTTTTTGGATTATTTTTAGCAAACGTCTTTGATTAAGGAAATCCAGCTTGTTTTGGTCTGTCAGACTTATGTTTTGTTTTTTGTATGCTTAAGTTTCAGCTAATTGGAATAATGCAGAAGGCCGCACCTTTTCCTTTCTGGACTATGTAATACTGTAAGTGTGGCACTTCTTTTTTAAGGGCTCAGAAGCTCATGTATAATTCGAACACAACTATTTTAGACACCCTGATTTTTAATTGGATGACAGTTTTCCTTTTTTGATGAGTTTAAAGAGAGGAATTGAAGATTGATTAGTGTCATCAGGTAAATAAATACTTGGCAAAAAAATTAGTAAATAATACAGGAATGATTAAAAGTGTGCCAAATTTCACTGGGTGTTAAAACAACTCAGATCTTCACCTCTCCCCACCAGTCTTCCTTAAGAAATCAACGAATGAATGACTATTTGATATTAATGTTGAAATTGTTTGCTTAGTATCTGTCTTTACAGGCTGTAGTTTCAGCGGAACGCAGTTTTCCAGGGGTCACCGACTGATTCTTTTCAAGTGATGCCTTAAACAAGAAATAGGATCACAGCTATACAAAAAAGACCTAGGAACAAGTTTTTTGTATAGATTAAAGACTGCTCTAAAGTCAAGAAAGACGATCAAAGGTACTGTGTAAGAAAGATCTGAAACATAAAAAGAAGAAAAGGAAAATCCACCAGACTTAAATGGAAACATAAAAACTGGATAGACCCGTTGAAAAACACATATTTCCCTGCACCCAACAGCTAAATTCCCGAATTCTCAAACCTTATTTTAAATCCTTTTTTGGGATTATTTTTAACAAACGTTTTTGATTAAGGAAATCCAGCTTGTTATGGTCTGTGAGCCTTACGCTTTTTTTTTCTATGCTTTAGTTTCAGCTAATTGGAATATTGAAGAAGGCCACACCTTTTGCTTCCTGGACTATCTAATACTGTAAGTGTGGCACTTTTTTTTGTAGGGGCTAAGAAGCCTACGTATAATTCTAACACAACTATTTTAGAGACCCTGATTTTTAGTTGGATGACAGTTTTCCTTTTTTGATGAGTTTAAAGAGAGGAATTAAAGATTGATTAGTGTCGTCACGCAAATAAATACTTGGCAAAAAAATTAGTAAATAATACAGCAATCATTGAAAGTGTTCCAAATTTCACTGGGTGTTGAAACAACTCAGATCTTTGCCATTCCCCACAAGTCTTCCTTAGGAAATCAATGAATGACTATTTAAAATTAATGATGAAATGATTTGCGTAGTATCTGTCTTAACAGGGTGTATTTTCAGCGCAAGACAGTTTTGCAGAGGCCTCCGACTGATTCTTTTCAAGCGACGCCGTAAACAGGAAAGAGGATCACAGGAAAAAAACACCTCAGAACGACTTTGATGTATAGATTAAAGACTGCTCTAAAGTGAAGAAAGGCGATCGTAGGTACTGTCTAAGAAAGATCGCAGACATAAAAAGAAGCAAAGAAAAATCCACCAGAGTTACATGGAAATATAAAGACAGGATAGACCCGTTGAAAAACACATATTTCCCTGCACCCAACAGCTAAAATTCCTGAATTCTGAAACCTTATTTTAAATGCTTTTTTTGGATTATTTTTAACAAACGTTTTTGATTAAGGAAATCCAGCTTGTTTTGGTCTGTCAGCCTTATGTTTTGTTTTTTGTATGCTTTAGTTTCAGCTAATTGGAATAATGAAGAAGGGCGCACCTTTTCCTTCCTGGACTATCTAATACTGTAAGTGTGGCACTTTTTTTTTTTAGGGGCTGAGAAGCCTACGTATAATTCTAACAAAACCATTTTAGAGACCCTGATTTTTAATTGGTTGACAGTTTTCCTCTTTTGATGAGTTTAAAGAGAGCAATTGAACATGGATTAGTGTCGTCACGGAAATAAATACTTGGCAAAAAAATTAGCAAATAATACAGCAATGATTGAAAGTGTGCCAAATTTCACTGGGTGTTGAAAGAACTCAGATCCTCACCGCTCCCCACCAGTCTTCCTTAAGAAATCAATGAATGACTATTTGATATTAATGATGAAATTATTTGCTTAGTATCTGTCTTAACAGGGTGTATTTTCAGCGGAAGACAGTTTTGCAGAGGTCACCGACTGATTCTTCTCAAGTGACGCCTTAAACAAGAAAGACGATCACAGGTAAAAAAACACCTCAGAACTTCTTTGATGTATAGATTAAAGACTGCTCTAAAGTGAAGAAAGACGATCGAAGGTACTATGTAAGAAAGATCGCAGACATAAAAAGAAGAAAAGAAAAATCCACCAGAGTTACATGGAAATATGAAGACAGGATAGACCCGTTGAAAAACACATATTTCCCTGGACCCAACAGCTAAAATTCCTGAATTCTCAAACCTTATTTTAAATGCTTTTTTTTCGATTATTTTTAGCAAACGTCTTTGATTAAGGAAATCTAGCTTGTTTTAGTCTGTCAGACTTATGTTTTGTTTTTTGTATGCTTTAGTTTCAGCTAATTGGAATAATGAAGAAGGCCACACCTTTTCCTTCCTGGACTATCTAATACTGTAAGTGTCACACTTCTTTTTTAAGGGCTCAGAAACTCATGTATAATTCGAACACAACTATTTTAGACACCCTGATTTTTAGTTGGTTGACAGTTTTCCTCTTTTGATGAGTTTAAAGAGAGCAATTGAAGATTGATTAGTGTCGTCAGGAAAATAAATACTTGGCAAAAAAATTAGCAAATAATACAGCAATGATTAAAAGTGTGCCAAATTTCACTGGGTGTTGAAAGAACTCAGATCTTCACCGCTCCCCACCAGTCTTCCTTAAGAAATCAATGAATGACTATTTGATATTAATGATGAAATTATTTGCTTAGTATCTGTCTTAACAGGGTGTATTTTCAGCGGAAGACAGTTTTCCAGAGGTCACCGACTGATTCTTCTCAAGTGACGCCTTAAACAAGAAAGACGATCACAGGTAAAAAAACACTTAAGAACTTCTTTGATGTATAGATTAAAGCTGCTCTAAAGTCAAGAAAGACGATCGAAGGTACTGTGTAAGAAAGATCGCAGACATAAAAAGAAGGAAAGAAAAATCCACCAGAGTTACATGGAAATATAAAGACAGGATAGACCCGTTGAAAAACACATATTTCCCTGCACCCAACATCTAAAATTCCTGAATTCTCAAACCGTATTTTAAATGCTTTTTTTGGATTATTTTTAACAAACGTTTTTGATTAAGGAAATCCAGCTTGTTATTGTTTGTCAGCCTTATGTTTTGTTTTTTTGTATGCTTTATTTTCAGCTAATTGGAATAATGAAGAAGGCCTCACTTTTTCCTTCCTGGACTATCTAATACTGTAAGTGTCGCACTTCTTTTTTAGGGGCTCAGAAGCTCACTTATAATTCTAACACAAGTATTTTAGACACCCTGATTTTTAATTGGTTGACAGTTTTCCTCGTTTGATGAGTTTAAAGAGAGCAATTAAAGATTGATTAGTGTCGTCAGGTAAATAAATACTTGGCAAGAAAAATTAGCAAATAATACAGCAATAATTGAAATTGTTCCGAATTTCAGTGGCTGTTAAAAGAATTCAGATCTTTGCCACTCTCCGCAAGTCTTCCTTAGGAAATCAATGAATGACTATTTAATATGAATGATGAAATTATTTACTTAGTATTTGTCTTAACAGGCCGTATTTTCTGCAGAAGACAGTTTTCCAGAGGTAACCGACTGATTCTTCTCAAGCGACGCCTTAAACAAGAAAGACGATCACAGGTATGCAAAAAACACCTGACAATGACTTTGATGTATAGATTAAAGACTGCTCTTAAGTCAAGAAAGACGTTCGAAGGTACTGTTTAAGAAAGATGTGAGACATAAAAAGAAGAAAACAAAAATCCACCAGACTTACATGGAAATGTAAAGACAGGATAGACCCGATGAAAAACACATATTTCCCTGCACCCAACAGCTAAAATTCCTGAATTCTCAAATCTTATTTTAAATGCTTTTTTTTCGATTATTTTTAGCAAACTTCTTTGATTAAGGAAATCTAGCTTGTTTTAGTCTGTCAGACTTATGTTTTGTTTTTTGTATGCTTTAGTTTCAGCTAATTGGAATAATGAAGAAGGCCGCACCTTTTGCTTCCTGGACTATCTAATACTCTAAGTGTCGCACTTCTTTTTTAAGGGCTCAGAAGCTCATGTATAATTCGAACACAACTATTTTAGACACCCTGATTTTTAATTGGTTGACAGTTTTCCTCTTTTGATGAGTTTAAAGAGAGTAATTGAACATGGATTAGTGTCGTCAGGAAAATAAATACTTGGCAAAAAAATTAGGAAATAATACAGCAATGATTAAAAGTGTGCCAAATTTCACTGGGTGTTGAAAGAACTCAGATCTTCACCGCTCCCCACCAGTCTTCCTTAAGAAATCTATGAATGACTATTTGATATTAATGATGAAATTATTTGCTTAGTATCTGTCTTAACAGGGTGTATTTTCAGTGGAAGACAGTTTTCCAGAGGTCACCGACTGATTCTTCTCAAGTGACGCCTTAAACAAGAAAGACGATCACAGGTAAAAAAAACACCTCAGAACTACTTTGATGTATAGATTAAAGACTGCTCTAAAGTCAAGAAAGACGATCGAAGGTACTGTGTAAGAAAGATCGCAGACATAAAAAGAAGAAAAGAAAAATCCACCAGAGTTACATGGAAATATAAAGACAGGATAGACCCGTTGAAAAACACATATTTTCCTGCACCCAACAGCTAAAATTCCTGAATTCTCAAACCTTATTTTAAATGCTTTTTTGGATTATTTTTAACAAACGTTTTTGATTAAGGAAATCCAGCTTGTTATGGTCTGTCAGCCTTACGCTTTGTTTTTTGTATGCTTTAGTTTCAGCTAATTGGAATAATGAAGAATGCCACACCTTTTCCTTCCCGGACTATCTCATACTGTAAGTGTGGCACTTTTTTTTTTAGGGGCTCAGAAGGCTGCGTATAATTCTAACACAACTATTTTAGAGACCCTGATTTTTAATTGGATGACAGTTTTCCTTTTTTGATGAGTTTAAAGAGACGAATTAAATATTGATTAGTGTCGTCACGTAAATAAATACTTGGCAAAAAAACTATTAAATAATACAGCAATAATTGAAAGTGTTCCAAATTTTACTGGCTGTTAAAAGAACTCAGATTTTTGCCACTCCCCACAAGTCTTCCTCAGGAAATCAATGAAGGACTATTTGATATTAATGATGAAATTATTTGCTTATTATCTGTCTTAACAGGGTGTTGTTTCAGCGGAAGACAGTTTTCCAGAGGTCACCGACTGATTCTTTTCAAGCGACGCCTTAAACAAGAAAGAGGATCACAGGTAAAAAAACAGCTCAGAACGACTTTGATGTTTAGATTAAAGACTGCTCTAAAGTCAAGAAAGACGATCGAAGGTACTGTGTAAGAAAGATCTGAGACATAAAAAGAAGAAAAGAAAAATTCACCAGACTTACATGGAAATATAAAGACAGGATAGACCCGTTGAAAAACACATATTTCTCTCCACCCAACAGCTAAAATTCCTAAGTACTTAAACCGTATTTTAAATCTTTTTTTGGATTATTTTTAGCAAACATTTTTTATTAAGGAAATCCAGCTTGTTTTGGTCTGTGAGCCTTACGTTTTGTTTTTTATACGCTTTAGTTTCAGCTAATTGAGCTTAATTGGAATAATGAAGAATGGGAAAGTGGTGAAAGTTTAGTCTCGATCTTACAGTAAACTTTCACCAAGAACATTGTATCGTCCCGATTAACTGCCCCTGGGTCTCCGAGGATGTATTTTCCTCTACCAATACCAATGTATTAAATTTTTAGTTTCAGTTGAATGAAGTATATTATAAGGATTGAGAGGAGAAGCCAAAAAACTTGGATTGAAATCGTTTATAAGTAACCCACAAAGTTAAGCATAAAGACGATTTTTCCTTCGATCACCTTATGCACTGTAGTTTAAATGGGTTACACGCAGTCTGATACAGAGAAATTTATGTGGCATAATAACCCGAGGTATAAGGGCGAATTATATGAATGTCAAGAAAAAGGAATACAAATTAACAGGCTAAAGTAAAGTGAATATTGGAACAGACGTCAGATTCACATGGCCAACTAATTTTTTTTATCGCTGTGCACGTTTATTTAAAAGGAATGCGGTAATTTAAAAATTAACCGAAACTAAAGGGGGTCCTGCTTTTTTCTGTTATCCATTTTCATTGCCTATATTGTATTTCAATACTTAGGTTAAAAATAATTTCAACTTTCAGAGGCAATAAGACGATGAAGAGGAACAAATGCGTGTGGGTGGTGCTTTATGATGCAAAGGGATACGCAGTGAATGTATGTAACAAAATATGCGATAAAGGTGGTCTCCGCACAATAGCAGGTACATTAGGACAAAGTAGTTTTATCACGGAAGGGAGATCCAGCTTAAACGACGGATACACCATTTAGCATATTTTTATCCTTGTTATGAATGAAAATATGTGTGGAGTGGACCACAATTAATTGTCGGGTTTGAAGGTGGCAGACCAAATTGCCCAGGTTCGATATATTAAAATCCTAACATGACTCCTAGGCTTTAGAGCAAAATTGGAAATTTTTACCACTCCATTGTCTCGCAATTCGCAGAAGAGATCTGAGCACAAAGAATGCCAAAACAAATATAAAAAATTACCAGAAAGCCTCGAAGCAACTGCGCCTTGTTCATTCGCCACTCAAGAAAAAACTGCAACACCCAAAAGAAATAAAGTGCATATAACTAAAAGTGGCGAATATGCATTTGCCCCCTTGGTATCATTAACTAGTTTTATAATGTACCGCGAATGGTGGCCAATCATTTTCCCGAGAACAGTTTAATGGGAGTCATTTGGCCTGTTCCAGCAAGAGGAATTTTTCATTCTTTGTTGTATTATCCTTGAGTTTTTTTAAGAATGTGGATGCAGCAACAAGCAGCAATTTTCTGAAACTCTGCGATCAAGTGGAAAACGCCTTCTCCAGTGGAATCAGCTCCGTACGATAACCAGAGGGCACATTTTTGAAATACAGGTTGTGATACCGGCGACGCCTCTCCGTTCAAATTCGGGGCTGTTGGTGTGACACGTGCTTCAGAGTCGCTGTTGGACATCCTGCATTTAAAGCTTTGCCTTTGAAAAGAAGACCATCACGATCATCAAGATTCCTCTACTCCAGTGCACCTGAGTTGTCAAGCTCTCTAAATCTCGTAACACGAGATGATTTACATTAAGTTCAAAAATAAAATTGCCAATAAAATTAAAGAACTGATGAAGAATAACCAAAAGAGTTACGGTTACAATGAGAAGCTTAACATGTTTGATTTGCTTTACATTTGTTCATCAGCGAAATGCTTACCAGCCTTCTGCAAAGCTACTGAAATGACCAAAATAATATATAATGGAAAAATAATCCTAACAAACACTTTACTTACCCCTCAATATTACATCTATCTATCTTTGCATATCCAACGTTTTTATCAAATCAAAATGCAACAAAAACAATAGAGTTAAAATAGATTTAAAAAAATCACCTTCCGATTTATATAGATACTGTGAAAGATCAAAATGAAATTGCTGTCCAATTTATTATATAATAGTTACATTATGCCAGCCTGACCCCATTCCGACGCTATTCCTAATCTATCATTTATGCTCGAAGCATTTACTTCCAGTTGTCCGTTTTCGAAACCTGTATTGTAATCGCTTTCGTCATTCGATTCACGTTATCCAACATTGTTTGGCGCAGCTCCTCATCTCCAGTTGCAGATAGAGGGGAATCTCTTTCATTCGGCACCACTAATACATGTTGCTTAGTTAACTTCTTCAATACCGTCAGAAAAAGCCATAAGAGGAGGTGCTGATATTTTGTTAAGACCTATCGATCGATTTGAACAACATCTCCGTAACTTCGACGTTCTTGAATCCAATGCATTCCATTGCCGGTTTTTCTGCAATTACCTGCTACCTCTCGATATCTTATTTCCAGACATCTAAAAACATCGTACCTTCAACGTTCTTAAATTCGATACATCCATCCATTCCTTCACGCCTTTACATCGCTTTTACTTTATCTGGGGCTCTGTAACTATTCGGATCGGCTCATTACGACGTCATCGTCATCATCAGCGTCATTGTCGTAATTTTCATCATCTCAATACCGTCTATGAACAATTTCGTGAGAGAGAAAAAGTGTAAGAGAACATTAGTGTGCACTTAATGATGTTAACGCTCTCGCTCTGCGCATTGAATTCCTTGACGAAATCCTCTACTGTTCATACTATACCTTTGACAAACCCCTCAATATTACATTTATTTATTCTTACATATCCAACGTTTTTATCCAATCAAAATGCACCAAAAGCAATGGAGTTACAGTAGATAAAAAATCACGATGTTATTTATGTAGATACTGTGGCAAATCAAAAATTTTCAGCATAAAAACTCCTCTCCAATTTATTATATAATGATTACGTTATTCCACCCCGATACCATTCCGACTCTGTTCCTAATCTATCAATTATGCTCGGAACATTTCTCCCAGTTGTCCGTTTTCATAACGTGTATTGTAATCGCTTTCGTTATTCGATTGACTGGCGTCGTTCCCAGGAAGGCGCAGCTCCTCATCTCTAGTTGCAGATAGAGGGGAATCTCTTTCATTCGGCATCACTAATACATGTTGCTTACTTAACTTAATGTCTTCCTTTACCGGTTCTTTTTTTTTTGCAATCACCTGCTACCTTTGGATACCTTATTTCGTTGACTTCTGCAGATGGTATAAGTTTTCATTCGGCATCATAAATAGTCTTTACTTGATTACAATTTCGTCACTTAATAAAACGTCATCGCCAGGGGTGAAAACTCTTTCGAGCTAATTTTGGTGATAATTCTTATTCACGCTCAAAGACCAGACATAAAAATAACATCCTCGTAACCTCAACATTCTTGAATTCGATACATCCATCCATTCCTTCACGCCTTAACATCCCTTTTACTTAATCTGGGGCTCTGTAATTATTCGGATCGGCTCATTACTACATCATCAACATCGTCATCATCATCGTTATTTTCGCTTTTACTTTATCTGGGCCTATGTAACTCTTCGGATCGGCTCGTTACTACGTCGTCGTCATAAACATCGTGATCGTCATCGTTATTTTCGCTTTTACTTTATCTGGGCCTATGTAACTCTTCGGATCGGCTCGTTACTACGTCGCCGTCTTCATCAACATCGTGATCGTCATCGTTATTTTCGCTTTTACTTTATCTGGGCCTATGTAACTCTTTCGATCGGCTCATTACTATCGTCATCAACATCGTCATTGTCGTAAGTTTCATCATCTCAATACTGCCGTGGTTTTTTGTACTGCCTCTGTTGTTCGTCTGTGAACAATTTGGTGAGAGAGAAAAAGTGGAAGAGAACATTAGTGTGCACTTAATGGTGTTAACGTTCTGGGTCTTCGTGTTGAATTCCTTGACAATTGACAAAATCCTCTACTGTCCTTACTATTCTCTCTTTTTGCTCTTATGGCAATTTCATTTTTGCACTGCAGTTGTTTCAGGTAACAGCGCTGGAACTTGTGACGGAGCCTCCTGCTGCTCCTTTGATTTGCTCTATCTTTATTTATAAATAAGTTTTTAGTTATTCGTCACTCTTGTTGTTATTGTGATTGCTTTTGTTTGTTACTGATGTCTGTTTGCGTAAAGGATAGAGAATGACCGCAGAATAGTGGTTTCACAGGGTAAGCTATTACGTGCGCGAAACACCACTTAATTTCTTACCCTGAATTCATATTAATGTAATACATTTTTTCCTAAAGATGTGAGGTGGTCAATTCTACTGGTGATTTGTTATGCTAACAATGTAT